CATAAAATATTAACAGCTCATAATTGTATTTAAGTTTCAAAAGCTTAGTGGATATATTTTTTTTTGCACCAGTCCAAACTGTTGAGTAAATCCAGTGTAGCATTTTGATAATTTTATTATCTTGAATACGTGGGCCACCTTTTATGTAAATATAGTTAAAGTGAACTGTTGAACAGTCTAAAGTAACCCCTCTCAAGCAGATAGAGTTGTACTCGCTTTCGTCAGTAGTCTGCCCTGGAACATTGGAAGCTGTTTAACATGTCAGTCAGCTGTGCAAACGCCCAGAGCTTTATGTGTGTGAAGCTCTTATGCAACACTTTCATTGGTGGAATACACTTGCAATAGGAAGATATAATAGTATTCTGGTAACTGGGACGTTGTCAGTTACAATAACTATTTAACTACATTTTCTTGTAAATGTACCATGCAATTCCAAAGTCTCTCTATAAAAAATATAACTTACTTTTGGAAAGGAGGCTGCCTTTAAAAACATGGACATACAGAGATTTTTGTCATAAAGCTGAGTTTGGCTTATCTTTGATTTCAACTCTGTTCTGTTTCAGTAACAGAATATTATTACGGAGGTAACACATTGCTACTACTGTATATGTTGGATATACAATGCTGAATGCACATTTTCAAAGATGTCATTTCAGCCAATCCTAGAATGGAGCCCATTACATGTTTTCTATTTTATCCTTAGCAGTACACAAACTAAAACAATGCAGAGGGAGCATAAACACATTAATTTGTAACAGATGGAATCAAAGAACATTTTGACAGAGTTACCATGTCATGGTTGTACAATATTTGACCCTTCTGTATGTTTACATGACAGCCAAAGGTGATTTAAAACTTTCTGGGATAAAAATCATACACATGAGAAAAAGTAAAGCTTTATATTTTATAAATGATCCTTAACACCTGCATTACAGCTTATTAGGGAAAACATGGTGGTTTCTTGTACCATGAAAGCTTCTTGTGTGCTTGCAACTTCTGTTGAGTCTGAATGATATTATGAACACATTATCTTGTATTTGATAATTTTAGAATCATAGAATGGTTTAGGTTGGAAGGGACCTTAAGGATCATCTATTTCCAACCCCCCTGCCATGGACAGGGACACCTTCCACTAGATCAGTTTGCTCAAAGTCTCATCCAACCTGGCCTTGAACACTTCCAGGGAGGGGGCATCCACAGCTTCTCTGGGCAACATATTTGAGTGCCTCACCACCCTCCTAGTGAAGAATTTCTTCCTTAGATCTAATCTAAACCCACTGTCTTTCAGTTTAAAGCCATTACCCCTTGTCCTATCACTACACACCCTTGTAAAAAGTCTCTTCCCATCTTTCCAGTAGGCTCACTTTAAGTGTTGGAAGGCCACTATAAGGTCTCTGCGGAGCCTCTCTTCTCTAGGCTGAACAACCCCGACTCTCTCAGCCTGTCCTCATAGGAGAAGTGCTCCAGCCCTCGGATCATCTTCGTGGCCCCTCTCTGGACTCAGTCTAACAGCAAAATGTCCTTCTTGTGTTGAGGGCCTCAGAGCTGGATGCAGTATTCCAGGTGGGGTCTCATGAGAGCAGAGTAGAGGGGCAGAATCACCTCCCTCAACATGCTGGCCACTTCTTTTGATGCAGCCCAGAATGCGGTTGGCTTTCTGGGCTGCAAGCGCACATTGCCGGCTCATGTCCACCTTTTCATTCACCAAGTCCTTCTCCTCAGGGCTGCTGTCAATCCACTCATTGCCCAGTCTGTATCCATGTTTGGGATTGCCCAAAGCTATTAAACTTCCTTCAGATAAAATACCTGGGGAGGTACTCAGCTGAAAGTGCTAATACAATGGGAACAAAGCCATTGATTTCTTGAGCTAGATATTTCTTCTAATCATCCACAAAAGATGTATGATAGATTTAATACAACTGTCTGTTTTTATCTTGCTTATAGGAAGTAATAAACGTTCATCTAGTGTAGAAGTAAGGAACAGCATTTTATTCTTTATACATACTTTTGTCAAAAAAATGATAAAAGAGTAAATAATGATCCTTCCCATATTTTGCTTCACTTCTGTGCAAACTCTCCCAAGAGCAGCAAATCTGAATAAGATTTGCATGAACAGCCAGCTCTTTATTTGCTGTATTAAGGTCTATGACATTTGCCAGTCTTCAGTATTGGATGTATCCAACAGGTCTAAGACAGATTTTCATCTCTTCCTTTTGTGCTTATATGACTTCCATCTGTACACTCTTTGAGAGTCTTCTATTTAATATGTTTATTCTTGCAAAATCATTTTGATGATGGGTAGCCTATAGACTTCTTGAATAACACAAATCTCTGACTTAATGCTGTATATAATTCTTGTTTAACTGAACCACCACCATGCATTTTAGCCATCTTGTCTGTTTAAAGACTTCAAGTGATGGAGAATCTACTTGTAACTCACAATAAATAGTTTAAATGGTTAATAAATCCGAGTTTAAAATGCCATGCCTTTTTTCCGTTTTCTAAATTCAGAGCCCACCCACTGAGTAATGATTCAAAAGTTCAGTGTTCAGCTCTGGGGCCCCCAACATAAGAGGGACGTGAAGCTGTTGGAGTGAGTCCAGAGGAGGGCTACGAAGACGATCCGAGGGGCTGGAACACCTCTCCTATGAAGACAGGCTGAGAGAGTGGGAGTTGTTCAGCCTGGAGAAGAGAAGGCTCCAGGGAGACCTTCTAGCAGAATTCCAGTACTTAAAGGGGGCCTCCAAGAAAGCTGGAGAGGGAAATTTTAGAAGGGCATGTAGTGATAGTACAAGGGGCAATGGATTTAAACCTGAAGAAGATAGATTTTGATTAGATCTAAGGAAGAAATTTTTTACAATGAGAGTGGTGAAACACTGAAACAAGTTGCCCAAAGAAGTTGTGGATGCCCCATTCCTGGAAGTGTTCCAGGCCAGGCTGGACGAGGCTTTGAGCAACCTGGTCTAGGGGAAAGTGTCCCTGCCCATGGCAGGGGCATTGGAACTAGATGATCTTTAAGGGCCGCTTCCAAACCAAACCATTCTATGATTCTATAATGAGTTAGGAGTTAAGAGTCATGCTATGTACAGGTATCTCCCTCCTTGCAGAAGTCATTAGCCATAGTAAGATTCCCAGTAAAAATAACTCGCTGAATGATTTTGAATTTTTGAATGATTCTTAGTGTAGGCTACTCATGATAAATTTATTGCAATTATTAAATATTTGAGATTCAGAATACAAAGTTGATTAGTTGCTGTAATATAATTAGTAGAGAGAAATACTGCCAGGTAAACAGATTACAAATAATACACCATAAATTATTCAGAGGAAGTGTGCTACAAGTATTACTCTTCAGAAGGAAGTTGATGGTGTGAATATTTATATTGTGGAATGTAAAACCCCTTTTACTGCTTTTCTTCTATATTTCTTCAAGAGTTCACTTCTTCCAGAAGCATTCCTTTTAGCATACTCATTTATTGAACTTTTTGGGAAGAGCCAATATAGAAGGAGGGCAAACACTCAAAACAAATTGCATTTTAAAATATTCTTTATTGTATTCATCTGACTCTAAAAAGCTTATATAGAAAGTGATTTTGTCTAACCAAGTCACTGAGATCATGTGCTTCTGAATGCCTTCCAATTTAGCTAAAAAATACTGACTTACATCAAAAAAAGATTCTTTGTCCTCTTTTTCTTGTTCCTTTTGGCTTTTTCTGTACCATCTTTCTTTGAGTTTTCTTTTAGCAGATTTGTTTTTATTTTTTCACCTCTAACATGTAACTTCTAGTCTGAGTGATTATGTTTTATTTCTAAATCGGTTGAGTCAGTTCTGCTCTCTATATACCTCTGAAGTCTAAGAAATTTAGGCTCTGATTCAGGAAAGCACTGAAGTATATTACTGAATATGATGCTGAGAGCAATTTCCTGGATCAGAGCAGTGAAAGGGAATGTATGATCCTTTGTTATTTTTGGTCTAGTTTTATTTCAGAAGTGTTGTGTTAGGCACAGAATTCCCGTCCTCTCCTTCTTATGTTGCAATTTAGTCTTGATAACTGCAGCTTCTCAGTAACATTCCTGCCCAGTGACTCATAGCAGATGTAAGTCTCAACTCTACAGAATTTAATAACAAAAACAGTCGCAGGCTGAGAAGGGCTCTGGAATTCTTTGCATCAGCTTAAGAAGATTTAACAACTTTGAGTTCTGTCCAGAGGGTAAAGGTAAACATTTTAGGTACCTATGAGAGAAGTAAGGAAGAATTTTGGGTAATTGTTATAGTTATGGTTTAGAAGTTAAATGTTTTTGAAGGCCATATAACTGGTGCAATGTTGCTAACGATGTATGAATGTTTTAGCAGGATCTAGCTATTTTGCTATGATATCTAGTTAGTTAATAAACTTCATATTCAAATTTGTAGTTTCTAAATTTATAATAATGTATGGCTGTATGAACAAGGCTGCTTTTTAAGCCTAAAAGTAGATCAAATAATGAATTATTGTCCATTTTTTCAGATGAGGAAATGGGGCATTTGTTGTAACACTACCTAATTAAAACAAAGCAAAATTTGGGCATGGGTTTAATCATTAAAACCAGTTTGAATTTTAAGAAAGCAAACAAAAATCTTTCAAGTCATTATCTGTCCTTTTGGCAAATTCTCTCATTATTGTTGTATTTATTAGCAATGCAATTCTTATTGGCACTGTACAAGCAGAAATAGGCATCTGAATTCCATCTAGTTTGCTATCTGCAGAATTCAGGAACAAGAAAACAGGCTGAGAGTTCAAAATTTTCATAGCTCAGAGTTTCTCTAACATCGTCAAATCTATTTAGTAGCTTGCTATTGAAAGACTTGGAAAAATGTCAAATTTAGGAGAATTTTGAACATAGGATTGATTGTCTGAGTAGCCTGTGGAGAAAGCCTAGGCATAGGAGAAAGGTACCTTTCTAGAATTTTTATTCCTTAACTTTACAGTAATCTTTCTGCACAGCTGTACAAGTGCACATTCCAGGTGTAATCTTTGAGGAGTAAATGAGTAATCTTGTATGGATAAAATGTCAAGGTTTCACAAGAGTTGCCTTTAAACTTCAGTTTTATTAAAACAGAAAGTGATTCTTTTTTCCAGCTAAGTGTTAAGGGCTTTTGCTTTCAACTTGAAAATACTACACTAAGTTTTTCTCAGTCTATCATGATGTATGATAATTAATCCACGTCTACTGTCTGAGATAAAGATTTTTCTGTAAAAAGATCTCCCTTGCACAAATTTGGGTGTTTTTTTTTGTTTTTCTTGGACCAACACAGGTGTTATAACAAAAGTCTTGGAAGTCTCTCAGCACATATTAACTGTTTGAATTCACTAGCATCAGTAACACAAAAATATTTGCTAAGTTATGCAGTTGTTTTCATCTGTGACATGGATTAAGATTTGTATATTTTTGCAGTTTTTTGGAGTGAAAGTTTTTATTGCATTGTGAGTTAATGTTTATCAGCGGTTGTACTCTCGCCCTACATTTTTTTTAATTTCACCCTCCAGGTAGATTTCTGGATAATGCATTTGAAATAGCTATATAATACCAGGGTAAATATTTAAATGAGTGGATAAATTAGCTTAAGAAAATGACTTTCAAAGCAATCTTCCTAGAGCAAGGGTTTAAGCGCCCCTTGAACAGAACTTTAGCTTTATGTATTACCAAAAGCATGGATATGTGCTTTCAGAGAACTGTTACTAAAATAACTTTTTCTGAAACTTTTTGTAGAAATGTGGAAAACTAAGTAAACAGTTACTCACACCAGTTCCAAGACTGAACCTGTCGATTCAGTTAGAGTATGCGAAGCGCTTGGAACATATATGGGGCTTGACCCTATATACCAATTTTCTTATCATTATAGGTTTGACCACTCACTGAATCTCATGTGACTGCAACTGTGGGATCAGATAAACTACGGGAGTTTATACCTGCTGAGAAATTGGTTCAAAGGCACAAGGTACTGCCACCTCCAGGATCAGCACTGCTCACTGTCCTCTACCTTATCTGGGGTTCCTTGCTGGGCAGTGACAGAAGCAAAGTTAAATTAGCCATTTTCTTTCACAGCTTGAATTTTCATGTCTCTTCCTATTCTTCTTGACCTTTCTCCTTTTTTGGGAGGACAACAGCAGAAAGACTTTGATCCCCTCAACCCTTGTTCCTACTTCAGGTCCACTCTGTGGTTTTTCTCCTGTGTCCTCTCTGTTTCAGTGTCCTCACCATTTCTGACTGACAGGTCTGCCAAATGGAGCTCTCAGTTGCTCCCTCTTTATCTGCCTCTTAATTCTCTTATGATCATAGTGAGCTCATGTTGTGAGTGACTACAGGATCAATAATCCATCTTGGGTTTACTGTCCAACTTCGTTTCTTAAAAATTAAACTCCAGGATTAAGATATCTTGAGCAATATATTTAAATCATCACATTTAGCATTTTATTTATGAGACTATTCCTAGTTTTGATATGTCTGTTGAGCATATCTTAGTTCAATGCTAAAGCTGATACAGGCAAAGTTATCTTCCGAGTGCAGCCCTTACGAAGTTCCCCACAACAGGAACATGCTTTAGAAAGAGGCACCCTTTAAATAGAAAGGTGACTTCATCTGAAGATGACAAACCAAACCAGCTGCACACACTCTACACTCCTCTTCGTTCCTTTTGTGCAGCTTGCATGATACAGCTCATACATGCCATAAGGGACATGATCTGCCTTGATTGTACCTGATAGTCTTCTATTTTTTTTTTTTTACTAACATAAATTTCTCTGAACAGCATGGAAAATTTACTTGGTAGTCTTTTTAAAAAAAATAAGAATACTGTAGTTGTAAAACTGTGCAACCCATTTAAGATTGATTGCGGTATTCAGACATTCACAGTCAGTGAAATCATGATAGAACAGTTTCAATATTAAACTAATGTGAAGGAGAACAGTGTGCTTTTATAATGAAAATAACAGAGAATGAAGCACACAGTTAAATATGAATCTTCCAGTAAAAAAAAGAATAGTCCCTTCTCTCCTAGAAAACATATTTATGATATGCACAAAGTCAGGACAGTAATTATCAGAGATAAATCATTTGCAGGTTGTCCAGATAGCTAACGTACAGACAGTGTCGTCACAACAGATGGCAACAGCTGTTTTCAAAACAGTAGTGGCTGCAATAGCCATAATTACTACTGTTGTAAGGCCAAAGTGCATGTTTTATCAAGGCAGAAACTTCTGAAATCTAAATTAATAACAGAATCCAATGCCAGGCAATTCTTGCAGATTCCCCCCGGCTCTCCTTTTTTAAGCCTGAAATTCATAGGATTGACCCAAATGGTAGCAGAATCTGTTGCATTGAATTATGGTAAAATTTTTAATTCAAATGATGTAACATTTATTTAGTTAGCATAAAGAACAACTTAGAACTTAAAATTCAGAAATTTTGTGGCATAAATATAACTTAACCTAAGATTTTCAGTTCACACTTTCTACTCAAGAAACATTTTATAGGTAACTTTTAATGGATTGCTTTGGAATCCTTAGAGATAGACATCACCCTAGTATAGTGCTTTGCAGCCTAACGGTAGATGTTGCGTATGTCCAAAATGCTTAAAAAAAACCTTCTGAGCTGTCTGTAACATGAGCCAGTGGTTACAGAGTACCCTCAACACCTTGTGTCTGCATCAGTCCGGTGCAAGAAGTGGTGTAATGAGCTTTATACAGATATACCTACATATACTTGAGTGTCACAACTCTATGCTTTCAAAGATGATGCTTTCAAACCAGCAAAACTCAGAACTAAAAAAAACCCCAAAACATTGCTTGCTTAAATAACTGTAATTTAGAAAAGCATCCTAAGTACTTTGTAGGTAGGTGTTGAAAACCTGAAATTTGTCTGTGCTGTAATTTGTACTCTTGCATGAAGTTTTCAGAGATTGGTGAAAATAAAGTTGGACTTGTCCAAATTTACAAGAACTTAAAACATACTTCACAAAAGTACCTTGCTTATCTTTGTACAGTAAAAAGCACAGTCTGCCAAAGTTCCACTGGTGTTTTGTATTAATTCCTGTAGAAACATCAGTGGAAATTTCCATAAAGTTGGTGTTTCAATAAGCACATGCTGACATCGAATCATTAATCTCTGTTACAGGTCTTATGCTTTGCCTAACCACAAATGTTTTAACATGTAGTTGGCTGATTTAGTTTAATAAGTAGAAAAAGCAGAGTGAACACATATTTTGGTTTAAACAGGCATTAGCAGATGGTAAATGAGAATATTTTAAGTAAAAAAAAAAACAAAAAACATTCCTCAGTTGATAGTTTGCAGCAGTTTAATCAATTTAGAATTGATTCATGTATAATCTATGTAAATATGTTGGTAATTGGAGGCCTTGGTTTCTCATCTGTGAGATGAAAAGCACACATCTCTTTTACAGAAAATGGTGACGTTCTATCAGCTAATGTCTGCAAGGCAGTGAGATACAGTGGCGATTGTTTTGGCATATAAAATAATTTTCATATGAAATAATGGGATTTAAAACATATGGGTCATACAGTACAAAATACGCATAGCTGTCAGTTGAAAGACGTCATCCTTGTCACCGTTAGAATAAAAGCTGGTAACTATTACATGTTTTTCCCCAAAATTACTCTATAACAGTAAAATTATCTCCATCTTCTCCTGGCACACAGAAGTTGCACAAATCTTTAGTTCAAGCACAACTAGCCCAATCCAGATTTTAATTACTTGAATATAAGAAAGCTTTCTCTCAACTTCAAAGGACCAACAAGGAATATTGCCCTTCTTTTCACAGCATTTTAAAAAACTATTTTTCTTTTGTCTTGCTTCACAATAAAATGCATGAGTTTGAATCTTCAATAGCTGTCCTAAAACACATGGAGAGCTCTGATACAAAGTTGCCTAAAAGGATAAGTTCTGGTTTTACTGGGTTTTGGACTCGTACTTCATCAGATTATTTTAGACATTTTTAATGAAGCCTAAATATGCATTATATTTACAATATATAAGAAAATAATTATAGGTTAAATAGTTTATTTAGAATAAAATTTAAGATGTCAAGTGTAAATACGTAGTTTTAATGTTTACGTTAACTAGTATTTCGTTTGTTCCTCTACTTCACAGCTTCCAAAGAATGAAGATTTTGATAATGATTGATTTTGTCCTTGCAGCTAGCTTGATGGATGCCATTGGCAGCTCTGTAAGTTCTAGTAATTAAATTTGCCTATACACTTTCTTCTAAATATTTCTTACCTTTTTCTCCATAGTGCTTATGGTGTATCTCAGCTACATGGAGTGGCAGAACCTTTGATAGAAAAGATTAGAATTCACAACAAAGCTGAAAGAGTGGGGAAATAACCTCAAACAATGTTCAGTGGGGACAAGTTTCCGATAAGGAAAGAGGAAACAAATGCAAAAACATGCAAGATAAGATAAATGAATGCAATAGCACTGAAGAAAGTAATCTGGTCAGTTTGTTACTGGATCTGACATGAAATATGAGGTGATAGAATATCTTCGCTAAAAAAGGTATTACATTCAGGAGTAATGCTAACTCAGAATCACACCTTCAGTTTTGAGCAGCATGCTTACAGAAAGGCAAAACCCAGGAAATCCTAAAGTGGTGGCTGCAGCAGTAGTATTTCTGGTCATTGACACTCAGGATGAAGAACGTTTCTATCCTTCTCTACCTTGTTCACTTGCCATACAAGTTTTTCTCAAATAAGATCCACAGCTTCATTTTCTTACTTGTTCCCATGTTACTCTGTTATAATTCACGTCACACTTAGAAACAATGATCAAAACTCCTTCACTTGTAGCTTCCAAAACCTACACACACACACACGCACTCACACACTCCACTGCTTAAAATATTTCTAACCTCACCAGTCCTGTACTGCCTGTCCTGGCTGTCCTTCCTGGTTTGATATTCAGGTCCTAACTAGCAGGGACCTGGGAGATTGAATTGTTGATTCATAATTGCCTAGGTGGAAGAGGTTGTTGAGTTTACAACTCGGTGAGCATCATTGTGGCTTACATTATTTTATGGAAGCCTTTTGTTCAGATAAGTAGCTCTGTAGGAGCAGAATAGGATGCACCTGCCTCTGTAATCACTTCTGCTCTGTGGAGAAAAATATTACTAATTTTATAGGCATGTACTGAGAAAAAAGGCATTACAATGAAATGCATTTGCTTTCTTTTGATTTTTCATTTGGAGTATTATGGGCTTTAGCTGACCCTGTGACTAAAAACTGGGAATACTCTGAAATTTATCTCTAAGTTTTCACATTTTAATCTCATTAAAACAGTATTCTCAATAGAGATTTTTTGAACCTCATTTAAATTCTAAAAAATAGAAAATAACACCTCAAGTAAAAATTTTGTATTTTTACAGTTTTCATAAAGTATTCTGAGTCTAATTTATAGCATCAATTTTAGTAGAAGGTCACTAGCTGCTAAATGATTTATGGAATAATGAACTAAAGATTGCAAATGCACATTAATTGCAGCAGCTGATTAAATATGGGACCACATGTCCAAGAGCAGAGCTGTCAGCAGTTGTTAGGTAATTGCTTCTCAATGTGTAGCACAAACAGTTGCTTCACTGAAACAGACGGAACAGGTTATGTTCAGTCTGGTTTCATTTAGTGGGCACTACTGTCCGCTGGAGACAGGCACAGTCAAATTCACATTTTTTTGAGTATTTCAACATTGCAATAGTTTAACTTTGGTCTATATCTAGCAAAAGGAATAGCGACTGTTATGTTATAGTTCCTGACTCTTATAACCCTCAGTTAGGTTTTGCTTCTGTGTCACTCTAGCTGTGCACTGGTTTAACTCCAGTGATTCTAAAAGAGTTATCCTGTGAAAAGGCGTAGTAGTACATTAAAACAACAGTCTGGTAACCTGCAGAGCTAAAAGCCACGTTGATCCACCCTGAAGTTACACAGCTAACTTGTGATTGTCCCATGGGAAAAATAGGTGTGGAATTCCAAATATGAGAACTGTGTTTTTGCTGTCCAGCAGCAAAGTGTAATGGGATTTGTTTGAAGTTGACAGGAAGAGACATCGATGAGGAGGTTGGACTCAGGGAGAGAAAGCAAAGTATAAGATACCAGTACTTTTAATATGTAGGTTACTTTCAAAACTCTACTTTCTGCTCAGTTATTTCTTTCTTATGGTTTAGCTGTCGCGGACTGCCTGTGTCTTCTTCCAATATTGTCACTTGCTATTTACCAGCACTGTGAACTTAAATCCTTTTCATCAGGTAATTGCTATGTGTAATGTAGATATATTACTGTTCACCCCCATAAGTGTATTATCCATAAAGCAGATGACAATCAGCTCAGTGTTATTCATTTTCATTAATTCACAATTTTTAAGTAAACAAATAAAAGATCAATTTAAAATGAAAAATTAAGAGTAATATTTAGAGACATAGCCTGTTGCAGACTTGTGTTTAATTTGATTCAAAGGATAGGACCTTTTATGGTGGTATATGAAGTAATATCACAGATACCAAGTTTTTCTAAGTTACAATAATATTTTTTAAGACATTCTGTACTTCTGCCATATAATTCAATCACAGTAGGAGAATGGCTTTTAGCAGTATGAATAGGTAAATTGATAGACCATTTTTCACTACATCTGAAAGAAACACACTTAGCTGCCTGTAGCTGCCTCTCCTCAAATGTGCAGACTCGTGCTCTCTCTAGAACTGAAAGTGGCTCTTTGTGGCTCAGACCTTGCCATGTGTTGAAGAGACTACCCACCTGGAGTCTTGCCTATGAAATTTCAAGGGCTTGGCGACAGGGGCCACCATTTCCTGGGTCACCCAGGTCGTTCCTATTGTATTTTACCATGTTCTCCAAGGTTGCGAGTTAAGACTGATACAGGCTAACCTTCTCAATAAACAAAATGCTGCAGTAAAACTGGTAAGTGTGGCATGGTGGCTTCTTTAGGACTCTTAGCTTAATATGATTAGGATTAATATTAGGTCTGACTGTTAACATGTTTGGGGTTTTTTTGACAGCTTTACTTCTACAGTTAGCATTAGCTTGTCAGGATGAGCCTGGAAATATTTTTTTTTACTTATTTATTCACTCTTTTTCAAACCACCTATGCAGCTCTCCAGTTCTCCATTATGTTTTGTATGCTGTTGGGACTAGTCTGAGAATTTGCAGAGACCTGTCAACTTTTTCTGAAATTTCCAATTCAACTCAGCTTTTGTCAAGAGTTTATTTGAAGCTACAGATACAATTTGAGACAATCACCCTGGAAAGACTGCACAATAGTGCATCCTTTCTTTGTAATATGCAACATTATACATTAGTGAGTGCTTATGGTCAAAAAACAACTCTCTAAACCACTGTAGCAAGTTTGTCTCTATATGTGCATATATTTTAAGTATTTTCTTCCCTTGTATGCTGCTAGAAGAAAAGGAGGGTATGCTAGGGATTTCATAGCTATGAACAACTGAAAAATATCTTCAAGGGAGTCTTCTTAAGTAAGATAGGACTCTAGGGATCTTAGGTCATTGGCTGCTTTGTTTATTCTCCTAAAAATTTTAATGCTTGATAAACATGTATATTACCCACTCTTTTGTTCCACCATGTGTATTAGACTGCAGTTAATTGTGAGTTAAAGTAAAGGTTTCTGATACACTTCAGAAACCCTTATAGCAGAGGCCTATATTCAGGATTGTTCTGCAAAGTCAGCAAGCCTGATCATCATATTCTTCAGTGTGACTAAATGTTGCACCAAATGGAACATGATGGCTAGGAACCATTTTACTGAACTCACGGACATAGATTCTTTTATCTTCAAATGCCATCTTGAAATGTCTCTTGTTCATTTGTCCATTTGTTGAAAGAGAATTGCATCCTCTCTAGTGAAAAAGCAAAGGGACCTGGACATCTGCAACACTTATTTCTGTCAGAAATAGCAGGTCATACGAATGACACGGTTTATTTGGACGTTCCTTGACAGTAGCAGAAGTTCCTCTGCTTTTTAACTAGCACCACAAATTAATCATGAAAAAAATCTGCATGTAGTAGAGTCATAAAATGCAGATTTTAATTAATACTGCTAGTTTAATTCACAAAGTAAATTCTTGGAGTTGTTGTGAATAGTACTGCAGGGAAGTCAGTCTAACCAGAACTGTGTTTGTGCTGCATAAAAACTTTTTCAGAATGGTATCAGCTTTTCAGATAGAAGAAAAAAAAACCAGATATTGCATATTTGCAATACGCATATTTGATCTTGCATATCAGATTTCCGAAAGGTTGCCCTCTGATTTTACTTTTACAGTGCCAGTTGTGCTCTCATGCAAGAACAATAGCTACTGAACTCTGTTTGCCCATATGAAATTGCAGACACAATGTCACCTCATGACAAAACCTCATGTCATATTTGTAAAATGTATCATAAAGCCCCAAAGGCTTTTTGCCCCGTGTTGGAATCAGGTTTGTTTAATATCTATTTGAAACTGTACAGGCTGTTTTAATTTAAGCTCCCTAGACTGGGTTCTGTTCACTTTGGCTATTTTACCATAGTCATTAATCTAAAACCAATTATTTATTGCTCTGCGTACGTCCAGCATGTCAGAATTTGGAACAGTTATTCCAGCTCTCTTGTTATGTATCAGTATTTGCACCAGGGTGAAATGAGTGCTAGGTATCGCCATGTCAGAATAGTCACATTTCTCACTCCTTCTGCACGGCAAAATTAAGTGTACAAGTCACAGCACAATATTGACTTTAAGGTTTTAACTTCTATTTTTCATGCATATTCTTAGCTTCTTAGGGACTATTTATTTTAGCATGCCAAAAATGAGGTTGAAACTTTACAATATTTATATTGGCATCATTAAAACTCTTATCGTATGAAGTGTATAATCTAAAAGCATTTGAAAAATGCATAATGAAGTTGAAAATGTATCAGTGTGAACTGTATTTCTTTAAAACTCTGGAATTTTAGAACCTTCAAAATGTTAGTAGCAGGCCTCACTGGATAGTAAATCTCTATACATGGCAGGGGATAGAGAATCAGCAATCTTTATGGTATGGTCTTATCCTGGTTTTGACTGGGACAGAGTTAGTTTTTATTTTTAGCAGCTAGAAGAGCTCTATGTTTTGGTTTCAGTCTGGGATTCGCTGTGAAAAGAACGCTGACAGCGCACCGATGTTTATAGTTGGCACTGAGACCTCAAGGACTTTTCAGCTTCCCATGTTTTCACCAGTGTGTAGGAGCACAACAGGCTAGGGGGGAGCATGGCTGGGGCAAAGGGTCCACAATTCCTCTTATGATTTGTACTTAAACTTAGGATTAAGGGGTAAATTGGCAAATGGAGTATTCCATATCATGCAACATCATGCCCAGTATACAAAGGAGGGTTGACTGGGAAGAAGAGTTTTGACTCTTCCAGGAACTCTCTTCCAAGGGTGCTTTCTGGCTCTCAGAGTGCTCTCTCTCTCTCTCATTCTCTTTTTGGGCTTCTCACTTGTCCGGGATTGCAGTGTCGGGACTTTCCTGTTTCAGGATCGTTTGGCGGGACAGGACAGGCATTGGTCACCGGGTGGTGAGCAATTGCACTGTGCATCACTTGCTTGTATATATTATTATCATTAGACATATCTGTATATTCATATATTATTTTTATAATTATGACTGTGTGGCAAACAGTTGCCAGCTGGGCTAAACTGCAACTGCAACAGGTCTGTACTATAGTGTTTTCTCCTAAAGTCCCCTCTGCATGTTTGCAGTGAAAGCTGGTAGTTATAGCCACTAAAGAGAAGGTCTCTTTGCAAAGCAGGTATATGTTTGGACACTCTGTAATATAAGAAATAATTTTAAATAGAGGTGGCAATCGAGGTGGAAGTCAGCATAATGTCTGTAGGAAATTGTGACCAAAATGTTTTATTCAACTTACATTTTATTTGTGGTTTGGTTGGTTGTTTTTTTGTGTCACGTGTTAAACTTGACAAAAAATTGTTGATTTACAATAAAATGTGTTTTCCTCTAGGATCTACAGAACTGTTTTCAAGAGCAGATACGACTTCAGGGCCAGGTGAGGCTTCTGGAACACCATGTGAAACAGCAGCAGTTAAAAATTATACAGCTTTTAGAGAAGAAAGAGATTCAGTACAGTGACAGAGGAGATGAAAACAGTGTCATTGACCTGGGAGGAAAAAGACAGTATTCAGGTTAGAAATGAAGCTATTCTTTTCATTTCCATTCATTGCAATGATACTGAGAAGCTTTAGCACAATTGGGCCCATTGACCTATTGTTCTAAAAGCTCGTAGAAAATTTTTTGTTTAAAACACAGTGTTCAGCTTTTACCCAGGCCTACTGCTGCTGAGAAAAATTGTTAATCTCACATGGTATAAATGAAATCTGGATTGAAGCAGTTTATTGATTTATTAATAGCACATAATTAAAAAACAATCAGTGAACAATACATTCAGAAAAAATATCAGCAATAAAACAGATAAAAGCCAATAGCAGGTAATAAACAGTTACAAATTTCTAGACACCCTTCTACGACTGATCTCAGAAAGTTCTAAACCACAGGATCAGTTCACATTCACACATTCACAGTTGAAGCTCATGTGGGTTATAAGCACACACCAACTCTGTTCCATTCTGTAAAGTCCCTAAGACATCCGTATTTACACACATAAGCCTGGCATAATGACATCTGCATCTCACTTTAATGAATATTCTGTATGTTGCGCCATTTTGACTGAGTTAGGTTCAGCTCAGGACATCACAGCTTCTAAAATACTGGGTTTAAGTTGTTTTTGTAATCTCACCAGCATTCTGGTGGTGATCTGGTCCCTATGCAATGGAAGAAGTGTTAGCCTGTAGAAGCTGGAGTGAGGCCCGAACTCTTAAAATAATGAAACACTATCCTAACCGATAGTTGGATTCCAAATACAATTTGGGGGTCTGATTCCTGGGTGGTGTTCATTTCTAGTTGACCAGTGTGAGAGAGTATAAACTTCTATAATTTTTAATAGCCTTGTTTGATTATATTTGTAGTGTTTATGCTGCTGAAAGAAATCAATGTATATAACAAGGCATCAAATATAATAAAGCACCATTAAAATGAAATTAAAAGCAGTTGTAAGTCAGACTTTAAATTTGAGCTGTGTATTTATATATTCAGCATCTTGGAATACTTTTTTTTATTATTATGGCTGACTCATTTGTTACTGGAGAAGATTATTAAAACCACATTTAGCTGAAAGGTATTTGTCCTTTCTTAGCATATGCCTCAGTTTGTTTTCTTAAAATGTTATTCACGTAACAGATCTAAGTTGTTCTGGTTTCTCAGGATTTTTTTTCCCATTATTTTTTCACTTTCTTTGTATCTTGGAAAATGCTTTTCCCTGATAGTACTGCATTATTTCAGTCAAACTGCTGTAGCATTTTAATGTCAACAGAGCTGGGTAATTTGGGGTTAGATAGTGAGGGAGAAATTCCACATTATATACACCTGCTAAAAATTAAAATATGCTTGTGTTTTGCTACCCTACTGAGAAAATAATGGAGAAGAAAAGGTACTTTCTATAAACCAATCAAACATTCTCTAGAAAGACAACTTAGCTGTTATTTAAATCATGTTTTCTGTTAGACTTTATTCAAATCCTGGCATAACTATTTGTCTTCAGTATAAAGTGTTTATTTTCTATGTCTAATCTTCACTGACGCTTTCACTGAGAAGAAATATAATAGTTCAGAAAGTTCCAAACTGGCCTGGAAGTTCAGCCAATATGCTCATAAATGTTTCAGGGAAAATCTTACAGCTAATCAGCCCTACCTTCGCCAGGAAAACAGAAATGTTGAAAATTGTACATCTTTCCTGTATGACTGCTTGATGGTAGATTACATATAAACAAAGAACTCCTTTCATTTCTTAACTCCTAGAGGAAAAATGATAAGATTATACAATTACATTGCTGCTATATTTTCATGAGCTCTGAATTTTGTCGTTGCTTTAAATGCTCGTTAGTCATTAACACTAATGGAGACGAGACTGTAAATAGCATCAAGCTGAAGTGGTATCAATTTACACATACGTTGCCCTTTTTGGGAGTAGTCTTCTATATGTTTTTGCACCTGTTTGGTACAAGGGACACGAGTATCAGGTCTAGCAATTGTTTCCCTTTTCTAACACTGGTCATTCCATACTCTTGTTTTTGGCAGTTCTCCTGTGGACTTTATGGACATAAAAGTACCTGTTTGTTTATAAAGGTTACTGTGTGTTTTATATGTAGAGAAGTTATATGATTGTAACAGGATTTTAATGTGGATTATACCATTGTAAATTAAACGTGACATTGCTTAACCAGAGGCATTATTTTGCTAGTCAATTGAAAACAAAAAGAATAGTATTTTATGGTGAAAAAAAGATTACTTTAAAGAAAAGTCAAAATAATTACAGCTCAATAAAGTTTTAAAGCCATACAAATACAAGCGAATGCCCCAAAGTCATAAAAATGTGTTTGCAGAGGCATTTCCTTCGTATTAGCCCGGTTCATATGTGACTCTCATATGACGTGACTTGATATCTGTTATTGACTTGATTTCTGATTTTACAACTAAGTATAGGACTAAAAAAACTATGTGCAATGAATGTTTTGTGAACAGATTGTGCAGAAATCTACAATGATGGCCATAAGCAAAGTGGATTTTATAAGATGAAACCTTTCCAGAGTCCTACTGAATTCCTTGCCTTCTGTGACATGTCTGAAGGGGGTGGTTGGACTGTTTTTCAGAGACGTTCTGATGGCAGCCAGAATTTTGATAGGTAGGTACTAGACTTAGTCATTAACGTGTGAAACAAAGTGGAGAAACATTAAACCAAATGGAACTGAGTTAAATCTTAACTTTAGAGTTATGTGGATAAGTTGTTATCTCAGATAAGTGGGAGGAATGGTTATTCTGTGGGACAGCTTCCAGATGAGATACCACTTCTGGCTCTGGCTCTCTTCTGGGAGATACCTCTTCTAGTCTTTTTCTGACACCTTGTGCATTTTATGTGAGGACACTTCAATGTCAAATGCATTAATGCAATTGTTGGAGCAAGAACTCTTAATGATAAGTAAAGGACTACCTTGTCTTTTGCAAATAGTAAAAATCTAAAAAAGTAAAAATGTAAGCAATCTGCTTGAACCAAAACACCATCAGCAAACAAATATGAAAGAAACCGAGAAACCTGCCACAGAGTAATTTGTAGCTCATGGTAAAATGCCTCCAGGAAAGATAAGATGGGTGAGAACTTGATTTGTGGACACCTCCTCCTTGCCTTTGCCAAGACTCAAGCACTTTTGGGAAATGTCCAGAAGTGGAATCTGTGGTGCTGAGAGACTTGAATATAAAAACCCACAAATATTTACAGATATTAGAAGCAACAGGAAGGTTTTTAGAACCTCCACTTTGCCCAATTTGCTTCTCACATACCTACATCCTTCTGTGAATTTGTCTTACCTGTGTTTATAATCACTGTAACTAACTTTACAATACCCTTATGAAATTCAGAAACAATCCCCAGAGATGATGAAAAACTGCAATCCAGCCATGAAAACTTTGCTATTCTTATTTTATAAAATATGGTCGAACAAGCTACAGAAGCGATCTGTAGCAGTTTACAATTGTTAACCACCACATACCACCCATTCTTCTTTGCCAGAGACTACCAGCTACTTAAGTCACAGGGACTGCTTTCTCTTATGGCTGCCTGTCCACAGTTTAATACTTTCACCCATTGTTTGAAGTATAGTTGCTTCTCACCAAGGAAATAGATCATATTTTTGTCCACATTAGAACACATCACGAGACCAAAACCACTGAGAAAGTGTTTCAAAGCCACCATAGACAGAGCAGAGATTCAATGCTTTCAGTACACACATTAATTCTTGAAACTATGCACCAGTATGAGTTCAAAAATTGTTAGAATCAGTCAGTAAGTCAAAGGTGGAAACAGCTAGCTAATATCTCAATTTACAAAATTATACATCCAGCTGCAGATTTTCGCAGCTTAATCAAGTCACAGAAAATAAAGAAACAATACTTGTGATACACCTACACATTCACTTAAATCTCCTGGATTTAACCAGGAAAAATGTTTTCACTTCGGGTAAATTGTGCTATACCAGAGATTGGACTGAGCTAATGTGTTTTCTTCTGGTCTTAAAATCTGTTAACCTTGAACCACTTTGAAGGTACCTCTTAGGACTAGTCTTTGGACTGCAATTCAGTGATCAGTGTAGCATGGGATTCAGCCTTTCACATGTTAGAAATAGAAACAATTCTGTGAGGATCAACAATGTAGATAAGATAATAAAGTCTAAAATATTTGTTTATTTATGTTCTGACACATAATGAACCTACAAAGAATTCAGCAGAGGACTACCAAGATGATCCAAGGGCTGGAGCACTTGCCCTGTGAGGACAGGCTGAGGCTTGTTCAGCTTGAAGTAGAGATGGCTTCAGCAGAACCTAATAGTATCCCGTCTGTACCTACAAGGAGGTCACCAAGAAAACAGCAGCTTGAGAACTTGTTGAGTAAACAGGCTCTTGACAGTGATGTCTGGTGGGAGGATAAGAGACAAAGTACATAAGTTGAAACAAGAGAGGTTCGGATTGGATATAAGGAAAAACTTTTTCACCGTGAGAACAGTTAGCGGGTTGCCCAAGGAGGATGTGCAGTCTCCATCCTTGGAGGTTTTCAAGACCTGACTGGACAAGTCCTGAGTAACTTGGTCTGATCTCACGGCTGACCCTGCCTTGAGCAGGACATTGGACTAGATTACCTCCTGAGATTTCTTCCAATTTGAATTATTCTGTCATCTGTGATTGTATGATAAAATAAACATCCAAGGAAACTTGCTTTTTAAAATAAATTAGTAATTTATGCCCTTCTCAGGGTCTGGACTGACTATGAAGAAGGCTTTGGAAATTTTGTTTTGACAAATGGTGAATATTGGCTTGGAAATAAAAATCTTCATTATTTGACTAATCAAGGTAAGATTTGTATTGTAACAATAGTCTTCTGTTGTTTCTGTTTCTTTTCTCTTTCCGGGCCATTTTTTGTTACCCTTTTTGTTAGCATAAATCCTGAGTTCTGTTGTTAGGCTGCATGGACTTCTCCAAGTTTCAGAACAAAATACATTTGAATATGTCTTTTCTGTGTTTTCTAACAAAAGGTTCAAAACTGTCATCAGGCCAGTGGCATGCAGGGAGCCCCTGCAAAATGGGGAACAGCAGATAGGAGTATACCTTAAGACAATTGTCTCTACCAGTTTCACAGTCAGCATCACTAACGGTCCAGAGTCAGGTGGTATGTACCAGTTCGTTTAGTCAGGGCTTTACATGGCTGCATAGGCTATTACATGAAGGTAAATCTGGGCCTGTCCTGTTGATTAGGCTAGTCTTAGAAAGGTATTTCCATCTTTCTAATAGTCAGCCTAAGATAACTTCTGCTTTGCTGAAGAATGCTGCATATACAAAACTTAGACATTGACTTAGCCAGCTAATTCATATGGAAATCAATGCCACCAGGATGTGGTCCTCGTTTAACTCTATTATCTTCAGAGTACAAAAATCTAATTTTCTTAGGTGTACACTTAATGATTGATTCTCACTATCGTTTCACTACCACCTCAAATACCTTACTAAAATATAAAGCTCATAAGTCCTTTTTTTTAAAAAAAAAAGCCAACAAATTGTCTGTTCTTGAAAATCTGCGTTGGAATAATTCTAGAAATTTCTGAGCTGAATCAGGTGAATAAAGACAAAGAATAGCAAGATATGCTTTAAAATGCATGAAGAAAGAAGATAAAACCCCATAAAATATGCTATGATGATACAGATAAGATTCATGATAAAAACATAGTCAGCATTTTAATCTTCTACTGCATTACTCTGTTCTGAAAAGTAGTGAGATAGACTAGTTTAACCAAAATAATTTGTGTTGTTATTTCTTAAGGGAACTATACTTTAAGAATTGATCTAACTGATTTTGAAGGAGAACGGCGTTTTGCACAGTATGCAAGATTCAGAGTTGCAGGTGAAGAGGTAATAAAATATTAAATAATAACTAGATGTTTTAATGAAAATATGGATTCTGTAGACAGACAACAAATATACAGGTTCCCTAATTATCATAAAGAAAGGTGTAGACCTTTACTATCATACTTTTTTTCTTACAAATGCTTGGAATTTTCAAATACAAAATAATAATAATGGTTTATTTTGATACATCAATTTCATACTTTCTGTAAGATGTATAAATCATTTGGTTTAGCAGCCATGGATAAAAGAAGCTTTTCTATTTTTGTTGATATTACCAACAATAATGGTACATGATGTTCTGATTTGTTAATATGTGCTGCAAACTAACTCTAATATTGTTTTTATTATGTCATTTATACATAAGGTTATTGCCCAATGTTACCCCTGGAAAGCATCTTTACATCCCTTCATTGTCTAGTACACAGCGTTTCAGTGGCATGACATTTCTGAGCGTAAAAATAGTAGCAAATGGAACAGATTAGTTTCCTCTGTGTGTTTTCACTCTCTGACATGCTAAAGGTTAAAGACCTATCAGATTACTTTTTTTTTTTCCTTTCTTCACATTTTTCTTTAGCATTCCTATGAGATGAGCTGTGGTGAATACTCTGGCACAGCTGGTGATTCCCTTACTGGTGGATTTCATCCTGAAGTAAAATGGTGGGCTGATCATCGAGGAATGAAATTCAGTACTAGAGACAGGGACAATGACAACTATGAAGGGAACTGCGCTGAAGAGGAAAAGGCTGGCTGGTGGTTTAACAGGTGTGTTGATTTTATATCAGTATTGTCAACTATTCTGCGTCATGCATATTCATACAAGGATAACATACGTAGAAGACAGGATTACCATTGTTCACTATGTTTGCAATCTGCCCTTGACCTCTACCAGGGATCTCAGTGCTGGTAAGACTGAAACTCGCCTTAGAAGGGACAGCACCTACTGCCCAGCTCCAGCTGGCCTGTGATAATGGTATTTGCCATAGGCTTTGGTTGTCTTTGTTATCAGACAGTAAGAGAAGATAATACTGCCCCTTTAAGGTAACCAGTTTTTACACAAGTAGGTCATGTAGAGTGTGCAGATATATCCCTGTTGTACTTCATTCTTGCGTTTCTCCTGCGTTGCACTAGACCAAATGTGGCAGTACTGCAGAATATCTGACAAGTTAAGCTAGTGCCAGGTTATTAAGCCTCATTTTTTTCACCTCAGTTCACAGCATCTCACTCTTGTTATTCCTTCTATATCAAGATGGGAATGTGTCCACTCAGTTTCTTTCAGTGAGTATGGCTGGACTGAGAGGAAGATTTTTTTTAAGTAGAGTTCACTAAAAGAATTTTTAGATCCTACTTTCATACAAAATAGCAATTCAAAAAGAAAGGATAAAATTGGTAGCCTTAGCACTGTCTGTATAGGCAGCTGTGTTGTTTCCTTTGATGAATTAGATAAATATAGCCATGAAGAGAAACTATGCAATCTAGCTATACAATAGGGAGGTTTAAAATACAACTCAGGGAAGCATACTACTCTCTTACTGTGATCTCAGTTCACTTGGCAAGAGCTGCCAGGCTGGATCAACTCCATTGTTTCTCTCTGTTGTGTCATCCTTTGTTTCTGTTTTTTAACTCCTTATTTTCCAAATTCTGTTTCCGTAAGTAGTCTGTGACCAGCTTAGCTGATATGATGTAGCTATTAACTCAATTCTGCATAATTAATTACTTATTTTAATACATTTTCATATATTTGCATGGATAGTGGGTCAGCAGAACGTTTGAGAAATATGGAAAAAAATCAAACATAGACAAAGTTTTTTTTGCAGTTGTCACAAAAACTAAGATATAAGAGAGGCAACTGTGTTGGAGATCCTCTTCCCATGAAACCAAAACTTTTGTGGATTTAAAGGACCATCTAGACTTCAAGTAACATAAAACTTAGGTACCATTAAGAGTGAATCACCAATCACTTTTAGTCAACTGCATACATTTTTTGTCTTTTAAAAACTTTTTTTTTTTTAATATTGGATTGGTCTGGACAAAAGAATGACCCCTTCACAAAAGTAGCTGTACGGCAGAACTTGACAGTTATTAATACCTTGTAGTTGGTGCTACATGACTACTAAAGATAGCTGACTCCTACGAGGCTAGTTCCTATTATGGCTGTGGACCTTATGCTCTTAAAGCGACAGTCCATCTAGAGAATGAAAATGAGTTACTAATAGTGTTTTTCCACTGCCTTGCTACTGACTTTTTTATTTTAAGCCAAACATAAAACTGAATACTGCAAAATCCTAGAAAATTTCAGCATCCTTAAATCCTACCCAAAAGAACAGTACTGGCAGAGAAAGGAAAGCACTCAGAACACGTATTTGTCATGCACAGATTAGCAAATATAGATGGAATTAGTGCTCTTGGCTGGTTTGTATAGGAGCTCCCAGCTATGAAGGAATTTTTTACAGCCAGCTCTATGCTATCTGGACTAAAGAAATATAGAAATGCTCGGATAATATGAATACCAAGAGTTGTGACACAAGTGAGGCCACATGGAGGTAGCTGAGTCTTAATTTAAAGCCAGTGGTCTTGCGCCAGCTCAGCACTTGTTACCCTGGACTTCAGCAGAAAAATGGCCTCTCTGCATTCTTTTGTAAGCAAAGCTCTAGAAGACATTCTCAGCTTGGATGCAAATCCACAAAGCTGGATTCACTCTGGTACTACACCCAGGTCATAAGCTTTCCTGCATCCAGCGCATTGAACAGTAGGCTCATGACTGGTAAAAGAAGAGCTAACAAGTCTAGTTGGACATGAGCTTATTCTCTCCCCAGGACTCCCAGTTTTAGTTGTACCATGCATGGATGATCACAGTGGATCTGCGAGGCATCGAGTTGGTGCCACATATCTCACTAACTCAGGCTTCCTGCCTCACCAATCATTCCGAAGACAGCATAGCTACATCCATGTGGGGCCGTGCTGGAGTCAGTAAGTCCAGGCAGAATTCAAACAGCTCTGCAGGAAACCAACTCCATCTCTCCGCATCTGTCATACAGTTAATATATAACTCAGATAAAATGTCTATGGATAATTGAGAATTGACTGTACTCTGGAAACTATTGCAGTGCAGTTTTTTACTTTAAAAATTAGCCTATCAGAAGGAAAGGAGGAACACAGGCTAACTTTGAGGTGTTTATTGACTTGTGAATAATGAATGTTGCTTCAGAATATCATATCATTAATCATAAGCCAGTTGTTTCTTTAGAATGTCCAGTTACTTCAGACTGCATCCATTTGGTAAAAGAACATTGTGTATTTTTGCTGTTAATGCCTATCAGCACTATTTAAGAGTTGTTACTGCCTCACGTTGCTCTGGACAAAATCGTGTTTTGCCTGCTTCCATCAAAGGAAGTAAAAGAAGGGGTTCAGTTGGTCTAGATACCTCTTAGCAGTTCTGATTCTTCTAATGAAATCTGTGTTTTATTCAAAGTGTACAGAGTGCCTGCTCAATGCAGAGTTTGTATGTCTAGAAAGATTATGTCAGCTCTGATGCAAGTTTGTAATTTTCAAAAACGAAGTGACTTTTGATATCTGTAGTTTATAAGCTTTCAACCAACACATTACCAAGATCGAGCTTAAAAATTGTAAGCAATGAATAAGCATATATATATGAGAATTTTCCTGTGAGGCTTTAATCACAGTTTTTATTTCAGTTCTCAAAACCTATTCTTAATGTTAAGTATAAGCAAAGCCAAAGAGACTAAGATTTGCCAGTAATAATACCCATAAGGTTCGTTTGGACTGTTTTCTGTTTGCATATTTTCTGAAGTCTGCTTTTGAAATCCATCCTGGTGTTTGACAGCTAAATATTAACAGCACTCACAGCAAAATACTGAATTGGCAGATAAACCAAGCCAATTCATTACAACGTGCTGCAGAAGAAACTGTTTTGCTCTCCATATGGTCACATAAGGATCTAAGCTTCTTTCTTGTAGGAACCAAATAATTATGAAGGTTGTGCTCGTGCCTATTCAAGCCTTTTGGGTTTTGCTAGGAGTTTTTTTGTTTGTTTTAACCGCTGTGTTTAATAAACTGTAACAGCATTTCTGCTTCAGCATGTAAAGAACAAAAAAAAAAAAAGTACTTCGTATAGTCAGCTAAAGTGCCAGCTCTGATGACCAGTGAATTGGTATACATATGTTTAATTAGCTGTCAGATCTAATCTATTTGTAAATAGAAGTTCCCAGCTGATGAACTGATGGCAAACTGATGGTGGTATTCAGGTTTTGTCATACGAAACACCGCGTGGCGTAATTGCAAAACTTACGAAGGGCTGCTTGGGAACAACAAAAAGCAGCACAGTATTTTTTTCCCAGACTTTTGCTTGGTGTATGCCCTGCTGCCGCACATGACCTGAACAACTCTGGAATAATTCTCCACTGAAAGAGATTAGCGGGTAAAACTGAGAGAGCTAGTGATGTCAGAAAAAGGGTGGAAAGAACACAATGAACTTTTGTTTCAAAGAAGCAGTTGTGCCCTAATTAAGCTGTTATTGTTTAGGCGCACTGAAGTCCACAAATGCAAGTTTGGGCAGCTGTCAAACTGGGCTGTTATCAACATGGCGAAGTTTTTGACTCGCACAGGAACTACAAATGCTTGCAACTTTTCGACGGGACGGCTTATTTCTGTTTTTCTTTACTTTTCCACCAGGTGTCACTCTGCCAACTTGAACGGTTTGTACTACAAAGGCCCCTATACTGCCAAGACGGACAATGGGATCGTTTGGTACACTTGGCATGGGTGGTGGTATTCTCTGAAATCCGTTGTCATGAAGGTCAGGCCAGCGGACTTTGAATCCAGTATTGTTTAAGTATTTTATTAAGACGATTTATCTAGTTAATCTTTTAGCAAATCAATCCAAATTAAAACAGATGGGCAGATTTTTGCTTCTCATCTATGCATATATAAATCTGGAATAATTCCTCAGCAATCAGTAGTTTCAGGAGACATAAATGAGAAGACGATTTGGCCTATGAATCTGTAGATACAAATACTAGTGCTAACATGTGTACAGGATTTTTTTAAAAAGGCAGGCGTTCACCTAAGAATAAGGACATCTTCATCAACATGGAGAATTTTTGCTTCTGCATTAACTACAAATCCTTTCATCTTTCAAAAAAGAAGTGTTGTCTCAAAAATGAAAATGAATTGTAGGTATTACAACCAAAAAACTATTTAAATACAAGTGTAAGGTTGGTTTACTCAATGGATGGAACATACTTTCTTTGGAATGATTCAAGGCTGTAGAAGTGAGGTGCCTGTAAATTCCTCTGATTTATTCGTTGCCTGTGTTGTGTACATAGCACACATTAAAAGTATAAAGAATGAGGCAGGGAACTGATTGGAAGAGAAGGGATGCTACCAAGCTAGAATCAATTGAATCCAGCATACAGAAGTGAATTGTCTGTTGTTGCTGAAGCATTTCTAGGGCTGGTCAGATCATTTCAATCTGCCATTTTTAGATGGTCAGTAATTACGCCTTTCTTCTTCTTGGTAACCATTAGGACTTTCTATTTTTTTGGTAACATTTGGTGACAAAACCTGGACTTTAATGAATTGACATTTGGAGTTTACCAAAAGGCTAAATAACAAAATCTGCAACTAATTATAATGTAAGCTGTGCTTTGAACATAGACTACAATAGTGCATGTGTAGAGGGAAGTGTATTTCATGTGCAGCTAAAATCTGTCATTTTAGAAGTTCTTAGTGCTTGACTCTCTAAATTACTTTCTTTATCTATCTGTTAGACTCCACAACTGTCCAAATTCTAATGTCCTGTTCAGTGACTCCAAAGTGGTTCTTCTTCTAAGCCTATTAACTTCTCCTTTTCCTATATCCTTGTCTTGGCTCCCTGGGTTTTCTTCCTTCTCAAGCTGCAGATCCACGTTTTTCTTGTACAAGAAAAATCATAAAAGAGAGTCTGCCTACCCTGGCTTTTGTGCCTAGCACCACAATAGACTCCAATAGCCAGTAATAATAAGAATCGCTGATTAGTGCTTGCTGCCATGAAGAAGATAGGAAAACTCTCTAGAAAGCTATCAGATAAAATATAATCCATTTCTGCTGAGCAGAAACAAATGAAAATTGTTAAAAATGCATGGATCTGAGCCAAACTTGGGCACTTTTATTTTCCTGCTTTCCTAAAATAATTTTGCTGAGGATGTGTAGAACAACTAGGGGAAAAAAAGAGAGGTTCATATGAAATAAGAAAAATCAGATTACACCTACACAAAAAAAAAGGAATTAAGTAGAGAAAAAAATGGAGTTCAGGCAGCTAAAAAGAACATTATCATGTTAAAATGGTGCTGATAAAAATCTGCAATATAGAGGTTTTGAGATCTGTGCTTTTTGTGGTAATAGCAGGTATTCTAGATAATCCAATCTTTTTTGTGATGTATCAATAGATATTCTGCTAGAGATTTATAGCCTTTAGCACATCCCTGTACGCCTGCATGGGAGGAACAATGGATAGCTCTACAACTGCTTATTTGGAACCTTGTTTAATCAGTTAAACCAAATTAAATTCTCCATCTGACAGGAAGGAATACCAGCCTATGTATGTATATATGTATGTGCTTATATACAGATATATATATTCAGCATTCAACATTAAAATAGAACATCTGATATGTATTTTTATCCAATTGTATCACAGAATTTAAAATGGGTTCCTATGTAACGCTATGAGGAGGTCTGTAGGTAATTAATAATACAGTGGAAGTTTTGGAGTTGCTTAAAAAGATATTGTAAGTACAGTATTTCCCGTCATGATTTTCAAATTCTTTTGCTACTCTAAGAGGAGAAGGATTTAATTATTTGCAAAAACATGGATGACATTATGTAGAAATTGTAAAAACACCCTTAGTTTTTCACAGGAAAAAGGAAAGATTCGCTCATGTATTTGGAGACTATCAAGACAGATCATATTCCATATAATTTAAATAAAAGACATGGAGGATTTAAGTACAGCAAAGTTGGATCTCTAGCACACAAAAAAGACTCTTAACATGTACAGATTGTGCTCATAAAATCTGCATTACTTTTTTTGTTTGCTGCAGCACAAATCATTCCTCTTTACTTTTGAGAATGCTAATGAAATCTTGCAGCTGAGTTAGGGTGCTCTTGTCATATTCTAATGTAAAATTGGACTCCGTTTCTTTATTGGAAATCATAAAATGAAGGAGGATCAAATCTTTCTTTGTACATCTTACAGTGCATTTATATGTTTATTTGCACTGAATGCTCTTCAGAACAAGGACTTTGATATCTTAGCTGTCTGAAAAGCATCTAGCATACTGCTAGCAATATGCAAATACAGTATTTAATTCCCATCATCTTTCTATGGCCTTTCTTTGTGTAATAAATCTTTTTGGCCACACAAAAAATACGTGAAAGTGTTGCAATTCAAAATGGTCATATAATTGTTCTCAAATAAACAAACCCTTTATTTTCAAAAGGCAAGTTTAAATAACTAATAGAAGAGACAGTACAGCTTGGAAGAAAATTCTTTTCTCTGCCTGGCCTGGCCTGTTTGTATTAATTTATTTCCTCAACAGGTATGAACATGTTTTAAGTTAGTCTTTATTCTTATAAGATAGCAGAACAAAGGCCAGTTTATTTGTTCAGGCATTAGACAGAACAACATAACAACTCCCAAATAGCTTAAAATAAATACATACCATTTGATACAAATCATATAACCCAACACAATATGAATAAGAAACAAGGAAATAACATGGGAAATATTTTGTCAGTCATGATTTAATAAAGTACATAATGATAGCTACCAGCAACATGTTATCAAAAAGGCCTGGTTTTGTAATATTATTTGTTCAAGGGAAACACCTTTATATTTTCAGTTGTCTATTTCTGTTTTCTTCCATTTGCTAAACATTTTGGAGATTAAAGAATGGAAACCACAAGCCCAGGTGAATTAAATGAACAGTAAAAGAGCCTTGTATGCTTCAACATTTGTTTTCCCTAGAATGTCTAGTATGCATTGACAGAGATGAGGTATTGCAACCTGGCCTACTGCTTTCCAGTGGCAACTCTTGTCTTCAGCTCTACTGACTAGCTAGAGCCTACCTTTCTCCACTGTTCCCAGAACGGTTACTCCTGACACCAATTCTTGAACTCCTTTTGTAAGTATAACGTTTTGTTCTGTCAAAGCTACTTCTCCTCACTGTTAGCAAAATGCTATACCCAGAAAGGGGAACTGAACCACAGCTTGCCAGGTCTGTGAACATCCTATCATGTTACTTTAGTTTTCTCCTCTTTAGCTCAAAAAGAATGAAAACGCAGCTTTTTATACTGTCTTTTTTCTTTTCTTCAGTAGTAGATTCTCTTTGGCAGTTGTAAAGGTGGTAGAAAGAGCAGAAAAAGTGTCCAGGGAAGTATTCTGTATCTACATTTTCAAAAATTTCCACTTATTTCTGTCTTGTTTTTTTTTTTTTTTAAAGTTGTCTATTAAGAGGTCAACTTAGAAAGAAAAAAAAAATGGAGCTTTTCAAAACCAGGAGGTGCTTTGAAATTAATATGAACGTATGCTTGCTATTTTCTCAGAGTAAATCTGAGAATTGGGAAATCGGCAAGGTTTCAAGCATACAGCCAAAATCTGTATGCAATGTATGCTCAGACAGAGAAAGTTATTTAGTTAAAGTGCTTGTTCAAAGAAAATGTAAAACTCTACAGTGATAGTGGCTCTTTGATGCTTTAATTAGTTTTTTGTTGAATACATAGTGTTCATCCAAAAATCATCTTTTCCAAGTACCTGAGGGCCATCTTAACCTTTGTTTAGTGCAGGATGAAATCCAGCTTGTCATTGCTACATCTTCAGTTAACTAAGACAGTTCCTCTTAATCCTACCCTAATGCCAAACAGATTGCATCAGAAACATAATGTTGATATCCAGACGTTGTTTAAACAACCCTGGGGACAAATTTGTGTGTTTGTTTGCTTGCAGAAGAACAAAAATATGGCTTTTGCAAAAAAATCCCTGTAGCTCACTTTTTTCCGCCCTTCCTCTGTAACTCCTGAATACCTATCTATAAATTTCTTTCACCTGTCTCCTATAGAACCGAAGCTTCCATCCTTTCTTCTTTCCTTCCTTTCTTAATGACAGTCAGATCTTTAATCTTGCCCGTTAGTCGTGGTTTGCATACCTGTGAATGCTTGGCTTAAGAAACCTGGATAGCTCTGAGGTTCTGCAGAAGCTGAGCCAAAGCTCTGAGGAGCTAAATGGTGTGCTTAAGGCACCTAAAATGGCAGTTGGGTCTCTAAATCTATTGTAAGAAACAGTGTCCAACCTAGTTTATAAACAGATTGGATTGAATTATTGTAATGAATATATCACCCAACACTGTGAGCAGGAAGATAAGCCAATTGCTCTTAAAAGTATATGGTTCTCACAAATGATTACCTGACTTTCAGTGCATCCAGTTTTGTTGTCCTTGCAAAATGTCCCAAGTAATTTCCCATCCAAACTCTCCCATGTAATTGCAAAATTATATTGCCACAGGAGCCACTGGGCTGGCACTCTCTGCAACATGATAGTTCATATTAGATGAGCTAAACACAGACAAGTGACATATGAGCAGAAAGGCTTTTATGTTAGTGATATCCTGCACTAGATGGTGCTCTGTACATGTATTTTCTTAGGCAATACCACGTTTGTAAATTAGTAAAAACGTTTCTCCTGATTAAGTTAATCAATTGCCACTATTAAATGATAGAAAACAAGTCAAAAATGTTTAAGTGGATTTAGTCCTTAACTCAATTTTGAAATCATACATGAGTTCCTAAAGTTACCTAAACCCTACGGAAATTCACAGCATCTAATTATCTTGAGGTAGGGCACATTTAGGCAGTTAAATTGTGGTCTCTAATTCAAAAAGCCTTGCATTACAATAGTAGTTCCTATCTTCTGATTAGCAAACCAAAACAAAACTGCACAAGTTCCAAACACCACCTGAACTAACTTATCTGCACTACTGTATTCCTGCTATGTTTCCTCGAGTGCTCTTCCCTGATGCGATCTCTGTCTATTTTTTGCATCTCAACTACTCTGAAATTCAAGGTAACTTTACTGGAGTGAGGCCCATCTTTATATCATAAGACAAATAATAAAGTATTTGAATATTTCTTGTGATCAGAAAACTGAGATTTTGTGAACACTTGTGGCAC